GTACACAATGGTTAGGTTTGGTTACTTTATTTAAAACCGCAGGTAAATTTGTTTTGCAGTAAAATGACAGTGACATCCATCCTTGACACGCAATTTCAAAACACATTTAAAAACATAGTATAAACACAATAAAATCACAATAACAACATGATAAATGATACAAGTGCTCAAAACTCCACCATCCTACAGCTTATTTAACACAGTTAAAACAGCGGGAACAAAGCTGTTTTTATACCGCTTTGTCTTACACCTTGGGACTAGAAACCTCCATCCAGAGGAAAGAAGCTGAAACTCACTGTGCAAATGGTGGGAGTCATCATTTAAAATAGAAGTAGCCATTCACTGTAACTGTTTGGTATACAGGGATGCTGGATACAACTGTGACTCACCCACCAATCGACTAGATGAACTAAATACAGGTGTGCTCTTGAATGAATGGCCATGGTAACTGATGACTGGTGGGAAAACTAGAAAAAAGAAACTGACTGTGAACAAACTAAAAATCCGTGATGAAGAAACTAACTGAACTCAATCGTCACAAGTCATTCTGCGCATTTATTTTTCACAATGTAACGACTGGACAAATCAGACACATTGTTATTTGTTATATTTAACAGATAACCCAACAGATCCCTCACCCAACAACAGGATTGGGTACCGGGATGTCTGTGAACAACCCCCAGGCCACTGGTTACGATGGCAGCAAGGACAGCTTAGCCAGATAAGATCACTGCTTGTAAACTAAGTCAATTTAACGAGCCAATCTTGCTAGATGTGCTAAGTACTGAAAGAAAGTTATATTCTGTGGCCTTGAAAATATCACTTCTTAGAGTTGATATGAATTTACACTGAATGTTTGCTGGAAGAACAGATTAGTTGATTGTAATATTAATCCTGCTACAGTTCCTTCTGGCAGCTGATATAAATATTTGTAATTAATTATAATTAATTGTAATTATTTAAATACGTTTCCATTTTGAGCTAATTTGCTACAACAGTTTTAACAAGTCTGACCACTCAGATGGGTGTTTCCATTTGTTTTTCTATGAAATAGTCCATGTATTTTGAAGACGGACAATAATAACAAAACTAATATCTCATCTGTGGATGAATAACTGCAGGTGTCTGTCCTGCACAACAACACAATCGCAGTGTATCTTTAACCTAGAAAGAATGTGGATACACCCCTGCTGACCGCTAATTGCTTTGTGATTAAGATGGTACACAGTAAAACTGAGCTGTACAGAAAAGTGGCAGGTAAAGGAACAGGAAGAGTCTGTGGTAATCACTCTCCATCCTGTTCAGACCAGAGGGAGTTTAGTGTTTAATGAACCTTGGGCTAGTGTGTGCACCGCACATGAGAGTGAAGAAGTATGGGACAGATAATGCTGTCAGGGTGTGGGTATCTGTTGAGACTATTAGGCTGATATCTACAGTAGGTGGCGTATTAGTCAAATGGTAATCTGTGTGAATGCTTTCTGACCTACAGTGGAGCTTCAATGGGTGCCATGGATGTCGACCAACTAAGGAAACAGGTATTATAGTGATTTAGATATAGGAAGATAAAGGGGTGTAATTTGAGGGAAAGAAAAGCTTTAGGTAAATAGATATGTGACCTGCTTTGTCATTTTGAGCCAGAAACACATAAGCACTGAATTCAAAAGTTCCAAACATTTTTGACAGATATGATATTTATTCAAATATACAGTGAGTAATTAAGTAAAAATATAATAATAATGTACAGTATATATTTGAATAAATGTTTATTGTTTTAGTTATACTGCATGCTATTTTTAATTAGATTTATTTAACAGGTAAATTTAATGTCAAGTGATATTGTTCACAAGGAGTTTTATTGGCATCATTATTTGGTTTATACACGAATTGGCTGATTACATGAGAGACGAGACATGTCAGTAGACCCTCATTTTATTTTGTGTTATAACTAGTAGTAAAGAGAAAGAGATTATTGATTCGCTCGTGCACCGTGCTGCTGTTTGGACGACCTGTCACACCACATTAGAGTGTCGAAACAACATTTGTTGTTTAAATTAAATTTTAAAATTAACAGAAATTGAAAGCCTAGTTGTTGTTTTTTGTTAAAATCAACAGAATACAGTGAACATTCAGATTATTTGTTTGTCACAAACAACATGAAGATTACTTTTATATATTTGTATCAAGTTATTTGAACTTGGACTTAAACCAGGCTTTCTCACTTGCACACCTATACCAAAAGTGCAAGCTGTGTTTCTGGCTTTCTCAGAGAAAAGTAGAATGAGGATTTCACAAAGACTGAAAATCCGCTGTTAAAATCTAATGGATGTAAAGCAGTGAGCTAAGAGTGTGTTTGTGAGGAGAAAGGAGTCAGCCTCTGCTTGGATTTAGCTCGGTAGTGAGCGAGGATTGCGCTAAGACTTTATATTGATTCATTTTTACCTTTTAACCTTCGTGACAGACAGCAAAGATAGTGTACAGAATAATGAAATCTAAGTTGGACTTTTAACCTTCAAATCCCAAACAATTTACCTCAGAAAATCCTCTTCTCTGCAGCCAGAATTAGAACAGTAGAAAAGAGGGTTTGTTGTTGGTAGGTGGACTTAAAGGGATAGTTCACCCAAAAATGATACTTCTGTCATTAACTCACCCTCATTTTGTTGCAAACCTGTGTTACTTACATTCTTCTGTGGAATTAAAAGGAAGATATTTTGAGAAATGTGTCTGTAGCAGAAAGAACGTAGCAGAAGAAAGTAAGTCAGGTTTTGAATAGCATGAGGTTAAATGATGACAATTTTCATTTTGAAAAGATTTATGTAAGGAATGGAACATTTCAAGTTTTTTGTTTGGAAGCCTTTACCTTATGAACATAAAATAATAATAATAATAATAATAATAACATAGAAAACATGAGCAGTGTGAGCTGAAATATACACTGAATTTGACATAGATGGACTTAATTTCATTATTCCAAATCAATAGCTAAACAAGTACATCAGCAGCTAGAGCACTTTCAGTGTCTGGAGGAATGAAACCTTTACTGTACATATTTGCATGACCAGTGCAACAAAAGTAATGTTTACATTCATTAATTTCATTCAACTCTTGGTTTAAAAAAACACCTCTCATATCTTTATACTGTTTTATTTCAAAACTATGATAATTGAAATTATTTCCCACTGTGATGTTAGTCTGTTAGCTTGAAACTGAAACAGAAGCTTGTGCTGAAACTGTGGAAAACATTTCAAGAGCTCGTTTCGTCGAGGGAAAACACAGTGACTCGAGGCAGCCTCCATTTCTGTCATCGCCACGTTTCTCCCTCTCTTCCTCCTCCCTCTGTAGTTTGTAGCAGTGAATGCACCCTGACACATACACACACAAATACATACTCAAAACCCTTGCTGATTAGAAGTGGGGGTTTTTTTCATGTTTTGCTTTTAGCTTGAGAAGACCTCTTCAGCAAATGTTATTCAGTAAATATTTGTCAAAATATACTGAATGCCTTTTTTAATTTCGATGTAATATCACCTTAAAATATGAGGCTTTTCACATTGCACATCCACCTGGGTTACCACATTTTTAATTCCTGGGCTAAATACTTACCCATCGCTCTAGTTTATGATACCCTGCTCTAGATTTTGCAGTGCTTAAACTGAATTACCTTGCCAAAAGTGTGCAGTGTGTCATACAGTGCTACATACAACATACAATCAATCATAAACTAAAGAGTGCTTGCCTTGTTAAATATTCATGAGCTTTGTTCAGTCACAGAAACCTTCACATGCTTCATCAGGTAACCCAAAACAGGCATATTGATTTACATGGTGACATTTCCAAAGACGGACAGTCAAATTAAAGCCGGTCACGTACCTGTTGCAAATCCAGTCAATGTTATTGACCTCGTAAATATGTAAATAAGAATGGTAACCCAATGTTTACAAAAGTACAGTGTGAAATCTTGAAACCTGAATGTCCAGGATTAATTTCTAACTCATGATAAATTATTAATAGCGTGAGACAAGATAACCCACGATTACAATGTTTAGAATAGCCCTGGTTAGTGGTTTAAAGTGCGAAAAGCCAAGAATTGTCATATTGCTTAAGATTAATTTAATAAGTCAGTTATAGGATACAGTGGGGCAAAAGGCACACCAGGGTAAAAGGAGCATTTGATTTTATTCTTCACTAAATCACTAGATTGCACATAAACTTACCACAACACTTTCCTAAACATCAATATTTCACTATGAGCATGGAAATGTTACTGATTCTTGACACAGTCGCAGGCAGCCATGAAAAATGTATTTTAGAATGGATAGAATTTGTTTAAGATTTAATGTTTTTATGTCTCTTATGATTTTCAGTGTTGTTCAAGGTAATAAAAAGTACATTAACTTATAACATGATAATAAGTAGCTGGCTGACTTTTTCATTTATTGACATGACATGGTTAGATTCAGAGTCAGAGTTAACATAATTTTATTAAGTTGAGTGTCTACCTTAGAGATAATCATCATTTATAATGAAACCATCATATTTAAAAATCCAATATTAATCATAGAATATAATAAAAATATATTTATTTTTACTACTGTAAAGACATAATATATTATTATCTCCTTCAAAGCTTTCAGAATATATTTTTAAATATTTTTCTGTATTTTTTAATTAGCATTTTAATGGCAGCATACTTATTAAACAAACAAAAATAAATTATGTATCAAAATAAAAAGAAAACAGTACAGACTTGCTAAAGTGATTAATTTAGATTTACGCAAAACATATTATTTTAGCTAAAGTATTTATATACCCCTTGCCTCCTCATACATTTATAAGATTTTTAAACAAAACAAACTTTTATGACTTATTTGCTCCATCAAAGTTCAATAAAAAACTTTTTTTCTGCAATCATGCACTATGGGAGTATTGTAAACCCTGCTGTACTTAATTTATCCACGTGTTTGAAACTCTTTTTTTCTTGTTTGTGTGTGTGTCTCCATCAGCCTCCATCGTGATTGGGAAGTGGTGGTGTGAGATGGAGCCGTGTCTGGAGGGAGAGGAGTGTAAGACACTACCAGACAACTCCGGCTGGATGTGTTCCTCTGGGAACAAGATCAAGACCACGAGGGTGAGGGCTCGGAACATGCTGAACATCACTTCACACACAAGCACACACATATACACATTTTTCCAGAAAAAAATTCATATAATTTCCTGTATATTCTGAAAACAAGCTTTACCGGTTAAATGATTCAGTGACAAGAAAGGCCAAGGGACACATGTAACTCTGGACCTCACTAACCTATTTATTCCTCATGATATGATGTGGCAGTAGCTCGTGCTCAGAGAACACATCTTCTTCATTTAGTCTTAATGCAGCGTTATAAAGGATGCTGTGCTGAGTTCAACTGAAGAAATAAGAAACTAAATAAGTTCAGGACATCAAGACACAAGTCAGACAAATATACACTAAACATCACAGCTCTGACAGGAAGTACACATGACACAATATTAAAACTTGATGAGCAGATCAGTATTCCCATACGCTGATTCAGTAGAGAGGTGACAGACAGCGGATCTGTGAGAGTCAAGTAGATAGTGTTACAGGGGGTTTGGTCCCTCCTTGGCGTCTGCACGTGTTTAAACTATCCCAAGCCCTGCTTATCCGATGGTGGCCCGATGATTTTCGAGATTTCCAAGGTAAGATCATGCATACAAACCTAATGAACCAGAGAAAGCATCTCTTGATTTATTAGTGTGATATAACTTTAAAGAGAATTCATAAAATAATGTGCGCACTTGTGTCAAGCTTAAAAGCAAAGTTTATGCAAAAATTTAAATGTTGTCATTATTTACGCACACTTATGTCGTTCCAAACTAATATGTCATTTTATGCTGTTTCCTTACAACAATGTCAAGACTAGGAGCTTTCAAGCTCCAAAAAAATAAAAGAAAGAAAGAAAAGAAAAGGAAAAACGGAACCATAATGTGCTATTATCTGCTAGATTTCTGAGGAACAGGTAATCAGATCTTATTTACTGATTATTCATAAATTCAAAACTCAATATTCACTGATAATCCTGCCCTAAAGCTCACGTCTAGCCCAAGTTTGCATTCATTTTTGTTTAAATTCAAAAATGAAATGTCATGTTTGGTTACTACAAACACAAGAACCAGTGCTAAAGCATCTGATCCACCATTTTGCAATTTGGATGTTTGAAGACGAAGGCGATGACTAATCTAAATTAATGCTTACTAAACGTTCAGTCTTTACCTCACAAAAGCATCAATTTTATATGAAATATAGCATAAAAATCATTGACTACAACGTTTTTGTTCTTATTTACAGTAGATTACTATGCACTCTCATTGTTTGGCAATAACTGTGTAGCAATTCTTCAAAGATTTCTACTTTTGAGTTCCATGTAAAAAAAATAAAATGGTTTGGGGCGACATAAAGTAGAGTAATTGAAATTTTAAGGTGAATTATTCCTTAATCTCCAATTGAGATTAAACAAAAGAAAAGGACTGTAAAGAAACGTCTTGGTGTTACGTATGGTAACCCTCGTTCCCTGAAGGAGGGAACGGAGACGTCACGTCGTGACCGACGAATTGGGATATCGCTTCGATAGACCAATCTACTTCGAGTGTAAACTAAACGAGCCAATGCACATTGGCATGCAATTATTGCATCCAGCTGCCGTTGATCACAGCGTGAGTATAATAAGGCAGCAGGTGCAATGCATACCAGGTTTTTGCTGAGGAGCCGAGCCGGCGACCCGGCCGTTCAGCGGTGGTACAGCAACCGTGGCGACGGGACGTGACGTCTGCGTTCCCTCCTTCAGGGAACGAGGGTTACCATACATAACCGAGACGTTCCCTTTCAGTCGGTCACTACGAGTTACATCGTGACCGACGAATTGGGATCCCACCAAAGCGCCATGGTGCTGCCCCTTCCAGTGCCCTGTGCGAGCCACCTGCACCCCTATCTGGTGCTCGGGACAAGTAGTTCCACTCACCATTTTTCAAAGCACTACCTTACTAAGTGAGACTGGATAACACTGGGAAAA